CTCTCTTTTCCCCACTTAACACGACGCAGGTCCACTAGCACACGCCGCCATCCAGGCAGCGACAGGACCACAGAAGCCAAAACCGCGGCAACCCCGAGAGCTCAGGCCCTGCCCCCACAGCCAGACGTGCCCAGGCGGGAACCACCGAGGTTTGTATTCTTCAGACAAAAAGGTGCTTTTGTAAATCAAAGGTATTATTAAGTTCCAATCCAAACCGTGCGACCAATTCCAAAAGCCATGCCTCCTCGCCAAATTGAACAGAACGGGAGACCAGACAAAACAAACACAGGACGCACAGCTGTGTGTGTGGGAGGGGAGATGCCCACCCACCACTCCTCCCAAAAGAAGGCCGAGAGGCTAGTTTCTGAGCCGAGGCCGCCGAAGGCTCACTTCCACGCAGCGCTCTGGCCACGCGAGTCCTCGAGAAGGCTGCTTATCAAAACCCTGCCAAATTCGGCCCCAAACAGCCTCTGCTTCCTTTGAGCACAAAAGAGCAGAAGAAAGGGGCAGTGTGTGCGTATGCGTGTGTGTGCGTGTAGTGATCAGGAGTCTGGGTCTTTGTTGCTAACAACCCTTGAGGGGCTGGGGAGAGACCAGGAAGATTCTGGGTGATATCCCATTTTCCTTAGCAGATGCAGACACCTGGCCTCAACCCACCTCTCCCCAAACTTGCAGTCTGGGCACCAGATGTGGAGCCACTTAATGTGACAGCCCTAGCTATTTGCTCAGCCCCAACATTGGAGTCAAACAGCTTCTAGGGGAAGCGGCAAGCAGGGGCTGGGGTGGGGTTGGGAGGGCAGTTACCACGGCCACCCCACTTGTCCATGCCCTGCCCAGACCTGGAATCCTGATGCCTTTGGGTTTCTCTGCCATGCAGTTTTATTTTCATATATGGGGCCTCCCTACAGTCCCACAAGTAGCAGCCCATGACACGCAGGCAGTGTTTTGATGCAGAGTTCGGCCGGCACTCACATGGAGGAGGAGAGAGGCGGGAGGCAGACGTGCGGCCTGGGGTGTTCTCCGGCTGGTCCCTTTAAACTGCCACACTGCTCGGGGAATCGGGCCCACCCTCCCCACAGCCTCAATCTACTTTCTGCTAGTGAATAACAACACATCTAGTGCAATCTAGTGTGCGAGTGCACTGCATACAAGATGTCACTGAACCCTCACGGCAACCCCTCAGAGTGGTCACCAGCCCCACCTGGTGATGGGGGCACCGAATGCAGAGCAGGCGCTCTGACCACTAAGCTGCACCACCACAAAGCACTAAGGTGCAGAGGCAATGCAAACAGAACCCCTAGGCAGACAGACTCCACCCAGGGTGAGTAGAGGCAACACAGAGGTGACAGGAAAGAGAACCAGGTTCTTGCTCCAGAGGTAACGATTAAGAGAAGCCAGGCTCTGAGGACAGGCCTTGGTATCCGCCCCACGTTTCCAATCCCCGAGTCCTGTTCTGGGCTGTGTGGGCAGGCCCTACTGCCATGGCTGCTGGGGTGGGGTTGTTGTCATGGACTGAGCCTGAAAGGACGCTTCGAGTCCATTTGCTCCAACCCACTGGTTCTGCAGATGAGGAAACTGAGGTCTGGAGCACAAAAGTGACCTGGCCTAAGACTTCAGAGTCAGTTGGGGGCAGACCTGGACTCACACCCAGGTCTCTAAATTCCCTGTCCGCTCCTTCCAGCAGTCTCCCTTAAGTCCAGGAGGTGCCGTTTCTCGGGACAGAGAAACCCGTTATTTCCATCGGTGAGGGGGGTATGGGTGACAAGCAGTGAGCAAGGGGCCGAGGGAGGCGGGGTGGGGCTGGCCTCTCGCAGCAGAGCCCAACTCCTCCTTTACCCTAAGGAGCTCGTCCCCTGTCTAAGCAGGAAGCGGGCAGGAAGCCCCTCCATGCAGGCTTAGGATTTGGGGAGACAGGATGGGAAAGTCACACTCCTGGCCTGGCCCTAGCCCTGGTTCCCCACTTTACAGCTGGAAATACTTGTGTTGTCTGCCACCCCGACATCCTGGAAGACGTTTTCCCTCTCAATAGTCTTTTGGGCGATGGGTGGGCAGGGAGATCTGAAGGAAATGCAGAAACAACCGAAATAGAGCTGGGAGGTTTGGTTCCGGGGGCGTTGGAGGAAAGACTGATTGCTGGTTTGGCTGTGGGCATCGGACGCCTGGCTGGGGAAGGGCAGGCCGCGCAGGCTCCGTGGTCCCGTGGTCACAAGTGTCCCACAGGGATAGGAGCAGGCACGAGGCGCAGCCCCCCCCAACTGTCCCACTGCCACTGAGACTGGCCTCTCTAGATCCCTGCCACACACCCGTCTCAGCACCCCGTGTACACCAGGCGCTGCGGCCCTGGCCTCACTACGCCTGCGTTGCAAGGCCCACGTCAGGTCCCAAATGCCAAGTTTATAAATTCCTGGGCTCGAGAAAGGAAAGTGGCGACAACATAATCCAAGCAGTTCCCTTCAGAGAGTGTTTCTTGGAGCTTCATCCCAGCCTTCCTCCACTCCCATCCAGCTAGCCAAACCCACCTGGGTCGCTGACTTGTGAGACTGCCCTGCCCCATGACCCTGGATAGGTCACTTAACCTCTCTGGGGACTTGTTTCCGGACCATCAGTAAAATGGGACAATGCATCCTCCTCTGACTGTACGATGGGAGTTGGAAAAGAAAGGGCTCTGCAGACTGCACACCGGGACTGACCGACATATTCCTCCATTACATCATCTCCTAGGGGATGAGGGCTTCGCCTCCACAGGGACCCCAACACAGGACAGGTGAACAATAATTATTAGTCCAGGAAAACATAGCTACTGCCCACCTCCCTGCCCGTCACAGAGACGGAAGAGGACACAATGAAAAGTAAGGGGCCCACTGGTTACAGTATTGGCTCGGTCTCCGTGAGCCTGGGCCAATCACCCCCTGTCCCGTCTGCTGCCTGTGAATAAGAGGGCTGGACTGCGTGATCTCTAAAGTCATGTCCAACTCTAAACACAAACACTTCCAGAGTAAGTGGTTTCTATTTCAGACCACAGAGCGAACCAGCAGCACCTAACCCAGGCAAGGGAGCTCTGAATCCCAGTGGGGCGGCAGGCTGCAGACAGTGTGGACAGATTGCAGGCCGGCAGGCAAGAGACTGAGGACATACTGGGTGACCCTGGGAACCTCCCATTACCCTCCTGCATATGCCACAGGACAGATGGGGGCATGGAGGCACACTGTGGCAGTCTGCGGTTAACTCCAGCCCCAAACCTGATGCATTGTAGGCAGACAGCTGAGACTAACCAACAGACTGGCAGGGGAGAGATGTGCTAGAGACTGGAGAGGAGAACTCCCCAAAGGACAAGGGTGGGGTGGGGCGGGGCCAGCTGCCTTCCAACATTCCTTTCTGGTGCCAGGGATGGGGGAGAGGAGGAAGCTCAGCCTGGCAGCTGGCGGCTGTTGGGGCTGGTGGGATCAGTAGGAGGAGGGGGTGCCCACTGCAGGCAGGGTCTTCCTAAAGCAGATCAAGGGTTGGGCAGAGGCACATCTTGTGCTGTCCTCACTAGGGTGTGTTGGCTACGATGACTCATGCTAGGGCAGGTCAGTCTCTGTAGGCTGCAAGAACTGTTCTACCACCCCTTCAGCTCCAGGGAGAGGAGTAAATCTTAGATCTGCCCCAAGGTTCACAGAGACCTCAGTGACCAGCTACACGGGAGTAAGTGCATTTTTTGGTTACAAGCCCCTGGTGGCACACGCCTGTTTCTACTGCCCTCTCTCTTGAGAGTGGCACAGGGACCACCTTTCCAAACGCTTTCCTGCCTGCAAAGGGGCAAATGTTGTCATCTGTGTGCAGGGAATGTGGCCCTCAGAACCAGGACATAAAGGTCCCCTATAAAGGTTCCTTGCTTCTGTCCCTTGGTGGTCCCTTAATCCCTCAAGGGAAGGTGTGGAGTGAACGCTCTGCTTTTCTGTTGCCTCTCTGGGCCTTCCCATTTGAAGAGAGGCTAAGTGTGGCCAGCAGCAGGTGTCCCTGGTGCCCCGGACCTGCTGATCTCTTCAGGTTAGTGTCCACTCTCTGGGCCCTGCCTTGCTTGCAGTTGGGGGGCCTGGCGGGGAGGGAGCAACGCTGGAGGCCCTCCTAGGCAGGCACCGCACCTGATCTCTCCCGGAAATGCACAAACACAGGACCCATCCCACTAGAGGCGCTGATAGGCATCTGCCCCTCCTTTCCCTCCCCAGCTCTCCCAGAGTTCTCTCCAGCGAGATACTTATCGCCCTTGAAAAAAAATCAAGACAAGCTAGTCTTTCAGGTAGCTGCGAGGGAGCTCACACTTTCTCACGGTGGCTGAGAATCAAAGTCTGAGGATATGGGGGCCTGCAAGGCTCCTGCTCCAGGGTGGAGGGGTCCCCCACTCTCACTCAGGGACTGGGTCCCGTGGGCCCATGCTGGCCCGCTGCGCACCCCTTCCTCTCCAGTGTAAAAGTGAGAACAGCTCTCCGCTGGGCTCTCTCTGAGCCACAGAGTCCTCTAGAGCGTCTGCATCCTCCCCCCTCGCGCCCCTACCACTTGGAGACCCCACCCCAGTCACGAGCTGCGCAGCCTGCCACGGTCCTCCCTGGCCAGGGCCTTGCGTTCCCAGAAGTGCTCCACTTCTCCCTGTTGCCTGCCCCTCTGGCACTCGGAGAGGCTTGGGATGGGAGCAGACACAAAGCCCACCTCGAATCCTCGGGGAGGGCGCGGGCTGGGACCAGTCCGCACGCCAAGCTCACTAGGGCCCCCGCCTTCCCCGCTGGCTTGGCTTCGGATCAGCCCCCACCCGAATGTGCCCGTCCCGCCCGACTCCGGACTCAGCCCAGGAGCCAGCTGGCAGCCGCAGCGCCCTTTCTCTTCCCGCCCAGAGCCTGCCGGTGCGGCCAGTGCCAGCTGCCGGCACCCCCGGGGCGCCGTGGCACCCCGGGCCGCGGACAGCGGCTGGGGCCCGGGAACAGGTGGCCGGGAAAAGAGCGCGTGGGAGTCGCGCGCTCACTCACCCAGAAGATGAAGTTAAATCCGAAGAGCAAGTATTTGATGCACTTGGTGCCTCCTTTGACCGGCATGGTGCGGGCTAGACTGGCCTGGGCCGGACTGGTGCAGGACCGGGGCGCGCGGCTGGGACGGGCGGACCCGGCGCAGGACAGACGTTCTGGTGGCTGCGGGCGAGCCTCCGGCTGCACTTTTAAAAGTGCCACTCCTTACGGTGCGCGGCCGGCCGCGGTGCGCATGTGCGGAGAGAGCCGACCCGCGCCGACCACGCCTCCCGGCCCCACCTGCCCCGCCCCCGCCCAGGTTCCGAGCGCCTTCGGCCTCAGGCGCCCCGCGGAGCCGCTCCTGCCCCTGTCCCCTCCTTCCTCCCGCTCAGCCCTGTCCCCAAGAGTTGCCCCTACCCCTAAGCGCCAGCCTCCTCCTTCCGCCTTTTTCTTTCCAGCCGCCCTGGGGGTTTCCGGGCCTGACCCCTTGCCACTTTTACCTTCCTGTTCTCTCATGTTGAATGGGCGTCCAGCCCAGGCCCTTTACTTTGGGACCCCCCCCCCCAGGCCGTCTGGCTAAAGGCCCTTGACCAAGGCCAGCTGCCAGAATAGGGGCTCCTTCTGCCTTGACCCGGATTTGAAGGGAAGCTGCCTGGCTTTATTTCTCCCGTGGGCGTCTCCCTGCGGACCTTGACTCAGTGAACAAGGTGTGGAGTAGGGGGAAGCTTGCAGTCTGGGGGGGAGGGGGGGACAGATCGGAGGCTTTTGGAAGTAATTATCAATACCGATCACCAAATCGGTAATACGGCTGAGGGTTGGGCAGTCCCTAAGCGCTTCCTGGACTTGCAGTGTGGAAGCCCCAAGGGGGAGAGAGGGTTTGTAGCCCAGGCTTCTACTCCTCCACCCCACCCTCATTCCTGCGTCTCTGGAATGTCTAAGTGTTTCTTCTCAGCTCTAGAACTTTCTGTAGCTCCCCACTATCAATGACCTAAGTTGAAATTCCTCATGTTGCTTTCAAGGCCCTGTAGGGAACACTCATCTGACTTTCTGCCCCACCTGGCCTCCCACCCCCACGGCCGAGCTCTGCACGCTGTGTGTGCCCCTGTGGCTGGTGGCCAGCCCTTCACCCTGCACGTGTAGGAATTCCGTGGCTCCTTAAACACCTCTTTCCACATTCTGTCAACTGAATGAGGAGATTCCCTTTCCTTTGAAGCCCCCAAACCCTTTTTTTTTTTCCAAAGGAAGTTTCCTTTAGTGTTCTTTATTATTAGGAAAGCAAAACATATTCATTACAGAAACAAAAGAAATACCAATAAGCATAAACAACATAACTCAAAATTTCACTCACCAGGAACAGCCACTGTTTGCACGTTGTAGCTATTACTTTGCTCTGTTACCATCATACTTTTGTCAATGGAATAAAGCCAAACTCTGTAAAATAATTTTAAAGAGATTTATTCTGAGCCAAATTTGAGGACCATGACCCGGAGCACGTTGTAGCTATTACTTTGCTCTGTTACCATCACACTTGTCTCATTGATTGATTCATTAACTGATCCATTCAAAAACATTTTTTCATTATCTACTTTATGAGGGTATTTCAATAGGGGTAAGAGCTGGAAAAAAATGATTAGACTCGGTTTCTGCCCTCTGGGAGCTGAGAGTCCAGTGCAGTGGGGAGACCTGCAGCCAGACAATGGGATAAGGGTGACATTTAGAGTTACATAGAGAGGCTTAAGGGCATTGGATGGAAAATCGAGGTGTATTTGAGGAGGTGCAGTGGGTGATGTGAGGGGAGCATTGGGAGATGAAAGGTGAGCTGAAGACCAGGTGCAGATCTGTTAGGAGGCTGTTGACTAGTTCAGGTGAGAGACAGAAGTGAATGGGACTGGGCAATGGGGTGGAGGCTGGAGAGGGCAGGCAAAACTCCAGGAGGGGGCAGGTTGGGAAGGGGAGGAGAAATCGGAGGCAGAGCAGCAGAAGCCAGATTATGGAGGGCTGCATTCATTTGTTCTTCTAACATTTCTTTAGAGCTTCCTGTGTGACACACACCTTGCTGGATGCTGAGGGCATTGAGATGAAACAACCTCTGCCCATGGATACACATAGCATGTTAGAATCTCAGTGCAGGGCAGAGAGACCCATTAACAGACAATTACAAGCACATGCAATCTTTGCTCAGGGTGAAAAGCCGTCTAGGAACCAGAAGGGGCACAGGGCATGTCCCCAAGTCAGCCTGAGTGTGGAAGGGTTCCCAGAGCAGGGGACCCCCGCAGCAGCTGACTTTGGAAGGTGGGGTCGGTAGCCAAGGTGGAGGAGAGAATTCCAGGCAGAGGGAACTATATGTGCAAAGTCACAGAAACAGGAAACCACAGGCACTTGGCAGCGCTGGAAACTACCAACAGTGGGCGAGATGGGGGAGGAAGAGGATGGAGAAGCAGAGCCTGAACTGAGCCTGATGCCAGAGGGGCCAGCACCGAAATGCTGTAACGCTGTACTCCAGCTACTCGCCCTAACCGTGTCCCTGGAGGATGGTTCCGCACAGCAGGGTGTGAAGCACTGTGGGGGGTGAGGGGGGAGGTGGAGACACAGACAATGTCCCATTGTGCTGCTCCAGGCCTGGGTCCCTCCGTCCTGGGAGAACAGGTCTAAGGAAAAGATTTTATCTGTTTGTATCTCCCCCCTCCCCTGAGCTAATAAGGGGTGGTGAGAGGAGTTCAGTAAATAAGCTTATAATAGAAACTACTTTTTAGGGGAATTGTGAATAGGGAATGAGATAATTCACGTGGAGGCTTTAGAATAGTGCCTGCCACAGAAGTGCTCCAGAAATGTTGCCTACTATTCCTATTGTTATGATTATTTTATTATTTACACTCAAGAAACAGGGGCAGCCTAAGCTTAAGTGCCATGTCACACATTATCCAGGGGGTCCTTGCAATGTGGTAGGAATGTTGGCTCTGGCCTGAGGGGGTCTGAGTTCTTTGCTTGGTTCCACCCATTGGTTTATTTTGGACACGGGCCTGAGTCCCCTCACCTGTACAAAGAGCATTTTGGGTTAGATGCTGGAGTCCCCTTCGTTCTGACAGTCTATGGCACAATCAGCCTCTGGGCCAAAGTGTGCTTGTTACGGGCAGTTAGTGCTACAGGCAAGCAGGAAAGGAAGAGGTGGAAAAAATATGGTTTGCTTTAACTGGAAGAGGAAAGTCTGGGTAAACCCCTGAGTCAGAGATCACCCAGAGGCAGCCAGCCTTCCCAGCTTTGTGGCGCTCCAGTGAGAAAACTTTTCCTCCCTTCCCTCAGGGAATCCTGTTTCAGGGAAAAAATCCTGGCTGGGGCTCAAGGGCCCATTCCACTCTGGCGCTCCCCCTGGTGGTGGGATTTGAACACGCAGGGGCGAGGCCAGCGGATGGTCGGTCACGCCCACCTCCCTCAGCCCTCCAGCTGCAGGCAATGGTTTTGTGAGGCAATGGGCAGTTCCCCCACTCTCACGGGCCACCAAGGGCCTCCCAGCCACCATACCAGTGGCTGTCTTGTTCATTCACCTCCTCCATTCTAGAAGCTTCTGTGCTTCTCCTCTTGCTAAGTTTAAATGCACCACCCCCTCATGACGCCCATCTTTTCTTTCATGGGGTACCTTGCTTGAAATCTCCCTCATGGATAACTGATTGACTGTCATCATCTTCTTTTATGTGCACAGGTGTTGGTGGAGAGCTCTTCCGAAGCACACTGGCTCTTGATTAATGTCTGTGTTCTCCAGAGCCCCCAGCGCTTGCTGGCCCCTGGCAGGCCCTCCCCAAACACCTGTGGAGTAACTGCAGGCCTGGTCTCTCTGCGTTCATCCTCCGGGCTCTGCCCTGCCCTCTCAGCCCTGTCCTCGAGCACTCTCCCTCCTGCGCCTCCCACCATTTTCTCCCTTTAGCTCCCCTCTCCAGAAATTCCAGTCCTGGTCTCCGAGATCCTTCGGACACTTCCCACTTCCCAATCCCGGAAGCCCACGGGTGTGTCACTTTGCATGGCATGAAGGATTTTGCAGATGAGATGAGTTCAAGGATCTTGAGGTGGGGGATTACCCTGGGCTATCCTGGTGGGCCCCAAGTTATCAAAAGCGTTCTTTCAGGAAAGCGGCAGGAGGGTCAGAGCCTGAGAAGGAGACGTGAGGACGGAAGCAGAGGCCGGGTGCAGAGCCAGGGAGCCTCTACAAACTGGAAAAGTCAAGGAAACGAATGCTCCCCTATTGCTGCCAGGCTCATTTCAGCCTTCTGACCTCTAGAACTGTAAAATAATAAATGTTTGTTATTTTGAGCCACTAAATTTGTGCTAATGTGTTATAGAAGCAATAGAAAATAAAAATAGTACTTGGAATAAACATCAAGCTCAGGATTCATAACCTCTGCAGGCTTCCTACATGCAAAGCTGGTCCTCAGCCCCCCCCTCCCGCCATCACACCCAAACTTCCCGTCATCTGCGGCCTTCTCCTCACCTCACACCTGCTTGGTGAATATATTCTTGTGTCCTGGTGTCTCTCACGTCCTTGCTGGGAGGCACCACGGATGCTGTCCAGTTTAAAGATGAGAAACCAGGGCTGAGGCAGGATATGGCTACTTAGTGGCAGAGTAAAGATCAGACCTCAGGTCAGACCTCAAACTTTTTAAACAGGGGGCCAGTTCGCTGTCCCTCAGACCGTTGGAGGGCCGTTGGAGAGAGCGGCGCACATTCCACACATGCGCACTGTGGGCCCGGGACGAGTCGGCTGCTAAGCAGGACAGGCAGCGGCGGCAGAAACACTCGGCGGGTGGATAAATGTCCCTGGCGGGCTGCATGTGGCCCGTGGGCCATAGTTTGAGGACATCTGCCTCAGGTCTTCTGATCTCAGCCTAGCCTGGGTGCCTCACCTTTCGTTCCTCCTGCCACCACCCACAGTGGGGCACACCTTGGAAGCCCGTTTACTGCCCCAGCAACTGCCTCCCTCCCTGCCGTCTCCCTGCCGCTCACCTGCCAGGGTGCACATGGCATTGGGCCGATCGTCTTGAAACCTTTTGTGAAGGTTTCGTGGATAGGTGAGGGGTTCCATCTCGTGTGCCAGAGGACACCATTCTAAACATCTTTTTTGGATATCTCTTTCCTCAAACTTCCAATCTGTGGTGGCCACCCCTGGTCCCCTGCCCCCAGCCCAGCCTTGGCCAGCCCACTCCGGGTCCCCGAGTATGTCTTCTGCACATGTCCATGTGGAGCAATTTAGCTCTGGCTTGGCATTTCCGG